ATTTCGAACGCTAACTTTAGCGCATTTACTACCAAGCTTCGTCGCACAGTTGTGGGAGAAGCATAAGAATACTCAATTTGTGATCTTGCTTGTGAAAAAGTACATAGAAACAAATTATGCTAATATTAGCAATAGCATTAAGCTCGAGCCAGAAGAGTATTTCAAGGATTATTACATTCTTAACACATAAAAAGTCCAGCCAGAAAACTGAAAAACCAATATTAAAAAAGACGTATCATATCAACACAATATGAATTGGGTAGTCTCGAGGCCAACTTTTATTGTTGTATCAGTAATGCGAAACTTTACGATTTGTATTCGAATGTGTTTACTGATTTTCATGCTGTTCATAAAAAATGCGAATTCTGTCTGTGAGTGTGAGTAACGATTACATCATTATTTAAAGCACCAACAAAGACGTACCGCAAACAAAACGTCATATAACATACGACTTTTAATATAATAGAATAATAACAACAATAACTATAACACTATAACGCCAATTTGGTATATAACGTTTATTTCTCCTTTGACATAAAGTTCACCGATTAAACCGTCCATCAAACGGGTCAAGTGCCTAATAAACTCACCAAACCGCTTAACGGAAATTAGCGAAGTAAATACGAGAGCCTTGAAGTACTAAGCTTTGTGGGCAAGGTTACGTTTGTTTAGGCATGACGTAAGCAAGTCACGCCAACATAGGTCGGCGGGACCTTGCAGGGTGGTGCGGTTGTTATCTTGTGCCAAGGGTCGAAGCGACCTTCCGTAAGCCTTGCCCTTCTCGGAATTAAATTGCTGGCATAGGTAAAACATTGCAATACCCTGAATTGTTATAGAACGTTAATTTGATACGTGTCTAGTCTATACCTAGATAGATTACCTAGACAGGCATCGATCGATGCGGTAAGGAAAGTGTTACGTACGAATACGAATCAATTTAGCAAGTTATTTAATATTATACTAGCTGTCCCAGGTCCCAGCGAACTTCGTACCGCCATAAAAAATAGAGGTTGGTGGTAGAAGGGTGAAAATTAAGGGTTGTATGTATTTTTGTATGATGTATCATAAAAAAATAAAAACAAAAAAATTTGTCCAAAAAAAAATTAAGGACCACCCTTAACATTTGGGGGGAAGAAAAATAGATTTTGTCGGATTCTCAGACCTACTGAATATGCGTATTTCACGAAAATCGGTGGAACCGTTTCGGAGTAGGTACTTCAATTAAGCACAACGTGACACGAGAATTTTATATATTAGAAGATGTTCGAATTATAATGCCGGCACTACACATGGCTATTCGTATTTGCTGTTTGTAAACTTGATAACAGTCTGTCTTCTGCTTTCCCTTTTTAGTATAGTGGGTCAGCTCAGCTTGCTATCAAAATGACATTGCAAATACGAATAGCCGTGTGAAGTGCCGACATAATACAAAATAAATAAATATTCCAATATTTTACCAAAATCCATTTGTCGAATAATAAAATAAGGTTAAATAAAAAATATTAAGATTTGACTAAACCGGCATTCAACCAACATAAACTATGCAAAATTTAAATATTATATTGATATTCTGTCAAGATACTCAGTAGGTTAATAGGTCAGACACTTCATTTTATAACTGTTTAATAAGAAAACAGGTCGATGATCGATATACAGTTTCTCAAATGAAATTAATTTAATTGAAGCTTTTGAAGATATTTTTAGGAACAGGGTGAGCCTATTAGTTATCTTATTTTGTCATCGATAATCTCTTTGTATAAAATAACCGGTTTAATAATACTTAGAGGTGCCCTAACGGTTTCACCCGCATTAATTTGAGGAAAAAGATTATAGTGGATCCCCCTTAAAAGATAGACATATGCTGTCGGCGACTTTTTTATAGAACTTTTAAAGGGGGACAATTCCGACATACGTGATTTTTGCGTAACTTTTATCGTTTCGCAAATGGAATATATTTTTTCGTTTTTGTAACATTTTTCATTGGTGGTCGGCTCTTATTGGTCGTATCGTTGTTTTATATAGCCTATGGCGTTTTTCGACCAAATGCACTATCCAATACAAAATCAATTTGTCAAATCATATTCATGAGATTGCTTTATTATATTAAGTAGGTATAGATTTTAAGTATTGTGAGTACGAAAATGTAGTAGGTACTTATTGTATAGATTGTTTAGTAGCAATTTCGTTCTTGTTACAACAACGCATTAGTTACGGTTACGACTAAGCTTCTGAAATTACCACTCAACATTTAGTACCTATACCTATGCATAGGGCTGCCATCTCTAAAATGTGGCAACCAGGACAAGACGCGTGATAACCCCGGATTTTGGAGCCCAGAACCCGGACAGACCAATAAAAAATAGTTAAAAATGTCAAATCAACTTTTTATGTTCATTTAGGCAAAAGAGCTAGTAGCAGTCAACCTCATACTAAGTGGTCACTGCTGTCCATGGACACTTGCAGCAGCTAGGGCCACTCATGCGTTGCCGGCTCTGAACGAAAAGGTTCATCCGCCTTTTTAAGATAACCATATCATACCTGTAAGAAAAAAAAACTGAGGAAAGTTCGTTCCAGATCTTGCTGGTACGCAAAAGAAAGGAACACATGGTACGCAAACGCCAGGCGTCCAGATGGTGGGTATTAAACTTCTCTGCGGTGTGTGGTGCTGTGGAGAAACTTGGCCACTGGCATCCGGTTGAATAATTCCTCGGAACACTCTCCGATGTAAAGACGGTACAACACGTACAAGGAGTTGCGTTCTTGTGCATGTTGTACCGTCTGCGCATGCTAAGAGGTTGCAACGCGTCAGTGAGCTCAGGATCATCGATAAGTCAGACTGCCCGCTTTTGTATCCGGTCAAGAAGAAGGAGCTGGTATTGAGGTGCTCCAGCCCAGAGGACCAGTGCTTTGTAAAGTAACACCCGGTATTTAGGCTTGAGGTACTTACTAGATCTACTTACTACAAGCTTTTTCACACACACTTGTGTTTTTGCTGGGTTAATCTAGGGATGATCGATATTCGAAAAACATCGATGTTGACATCGATGTCATAATCGAAAGCCCGACATCGATGTTCGATATTTATCGAAAACCGAACATCGATGTTGGATACCATCGATGATTTATGCAATAATAACTGACAAAAAAATAAAACACTGTAAAAGTTCGGGATTTATTAAGAAACAGATCAAATGATTACATATTCCAATATTTTGTATCAATTGACTGAAGGAAGAGTAATTTTGATAATGAAGAACCTTTTAATCTATTTCTTTGTTGATAAAGAGTAGAGCCAGCTTTTGAAAACAGTCTTTCGGATGGCGTTGATGTCGCGATAGTACTCAAATATTTCACCGCTATTTTTTTCAATTTCGGGTAAGTGGAACCGAGGACATTGTTCCAAACTTGGATAGGATCTTGTTTAAGATCAGATACTGGATTTTTCAAAAAGAGTCTCAACTCGGAAGGCATTTCGTGATCATGAGAGGAAGGCGTAGAGTTTTTGACATTTACAAATTTATAATGTTCGCTCCACAAATTAAATTGTTCTGTTGGATCACTTGGATCTGGCGAGCGAGGAGACGACGAAGAACGTACGAATGAAAGGAACGAACGACCGGTGCGCCCTCAATGAATACGCGTTCAAAATAAACTTGATTTGTGGATGCGTTCATAAAAGACATATTTTGTTTCGTAAGTTGCATTGGTCGTGTCGTGCGTGAGGCCGTGAGTTAACATCGATGATAGATGCCGTTAACATCGATGTTACGATATTTTTCGTATAGCAATATCGATGTTAACACAGCGATGTTTTTGCTTTCAACATCGATGATCATCGAACATCGATGTTCATCGAGCATCCCTAGGTTAATCCAATCAAATTTTGTTGGCTCCAATTTGAGACTTGATCCAGTAATATCTGAATCTCGGACACAAGTCTGTCTTTATACCCTTCTTCTTCCATCAGAGGGATGTTTGACTGACCAGTGTAAAAAGTGTCAGTGCTGATATCCACATAGCCACGAATGCTGTTATTGCGTACAGCGTGAGCGACGGAGCTGATCTTTGAGAGAGAAAAGATTTATTTATTTTCAAAGACATTTAAATTGACGGATTAATTGGCGACCCAAAACAGGAAATTTTTAAACCCGGACTACAAATGAAACCCCGCCCGGACGCTCCCCGGACGCCACGTAAACTAGGACAAATCCGGGGAAACCCGGACGGATGGCAGCCCTACCTATGCATAGTCTAGGCTAGGATGTCATTATCTTCGAGTAAACAACACCAAAGTTATTATTACAAAATAATAACATCATCAACTACTCTCGTTTGTATATGAAGTCGAAAACCTTTGACAATATTTACTGATTTTCCAAAAGAAAGAGAAGATATTTCTCTAACTTTCCTCTTAAGTTTACGAAGTCTATTTTTTTACTGCAACTTCAATGATGGTCCATCTGTCAGTGTCTTACTTATCCTAATAAAATTGAAAAAGTTTTGAAAACTTTGTTTTGTGTCAGAATTCTTCAAAACAAAACTTAACAATAACAAAACTTTCACTATTTAGTAAACACAGCAACAGAACAGATTACCTAAAATATTTAAACGTTTTAAACTGATTTTGAACGTTATCTTGCTTGATTTATGATTTAATACCTTTGTGACTTCGTTCGCGTTACAGTTAGTGTTTTTAAAAACCCCACAGGAACAAAACAATTTTCCGCGATAAAAGTATCCTATGTCTCATTCCAGGTAATTAACATTCTATGTGTGCCAAATTTCAGCCAAATCAGTTCAGCCGTGTTTTCGTGATCGAGTCAAAATAAAAAACATACAAACTTTCATATTCATAATATTAGTAGGATAGTCGATTAGACATTTATCATTCTTTTATAAGTGTATTAATAATAGTATTGTAATATGTAGGCTGGCTATATCTATGTAAGTTATTGAGTTGATTCAGGTAATCCTTACAATATAAACCAAAAATCACCAACCTGTTGCCACACATGGTAAGGGAACCGGCTGGCGACCAACGCCGCGGCTATGGTATGAACCGTCGGTAGCAACACGCCGAAGGCTGCCGCGACCGGCGCACCGACTGGAAGCAGGGCGTAGGCGGCGAAGACGGCCCATACGACGTGAGCTGCACCTTCAGCGGCCGCGCCGGGACCCCAGGCGGGCAGGGTGGTGGCCAGCGTGGCGCCCCCGCCCGCCAGCGCGAGCCAGCAAGCGCGGGGCAGGCGCCGCTCGGGCGTGGCGCCGCCCGCGTGGCCGCACCACCATGCAAGCCCGCTGCAAAGCACAGCGTGCGCACTAAGCACGCCCACCTATCAAACGAGATAAATAAATGTTAAAGTGCCTTACAGACGGACGCGGCCTGCGGCTGCGGCTGGGGTGGCGGCCAGGTGCATTCGCTTGCAAGCTAAGCGAGTGGTCAAACACGAGTGACCAGTAATAGCTGGCTGCGGCCACAGGGCAGCCTCTGTCTATGAGACCCTTTATGCCGCCACTTCACAAATGTCCGTTCATATATTTGCTATTTATAAACTTATAAATTGTGGGTTTACCTATAATGCGAAGAGATGGCGCTGCCTTGCAGCTTAAGAATAGCTAGAAAGAATTTCGACGCGGTCCGTGAGGGCCGCGGTAGCGTAATTGGTCAGTGCATTCGCCCGGATTGCGAAGGGTGCGGGTTCGAGTCCCGTCTGCTGCCTGGTCCGCGTGGAATTTTTTCTAGTTATATTTTCTTTAGATTTAAACATCAAGCAGTTACATGCTTTAAAAATAATAAAAATTATAACTATAATTGCTATTTCTTCTTTCAAATGTTTAATACTTGTAAAAGTATTCATTTGACATTGTGGGTTTACCTATAATGCGAAGAGATGGCGCTGCCTTGCAGCTTAAGAATAGCTAGAAAGAATTTCGACGCGGTCCATGAGGGCCGCGGTAGCATAATTGGTCAGTGCATTCGCCCGGATTGCGAAGGGTGCGGGTTCGAGTCCCGTCTGCTGCCTGGTCCGCGTGGATTTTTTTCTAGTTATATTTTCTTTAGATTTAAACATCAAGCAGTTACATGCTTTAAAAATAATAAAAATTATATTTATAAACTTGACAAGTCATTTTTTTCGCAATTGAGCATGATAAGAATACTCACATGTCAAGTTCACAAATAGCAATTCGAATAGCCATGTGAAATGGCAGCATAATAGTCTCGCATTATCAGACCACGAAGTATTGGAGTGTAAGCCTAGGAGCACCTGTACGGTTTCCTGATTCGGTTACCTGATCAGTAATCCTGATTCGGAAACCTGAATGCACGTCCTTACATACAAAATGTTCAAAAAGGCGCACACTATTCTGTATTTTTCAGAACGGACAATACCTAACGTTCTGTTCGTACTCTAACTCATAAGAAATCCGAAACGTCTGCTTTAGGAATCCTGGATTCGGAAAATGAATGCACTTCCTTACATTCAAAATGTTCAACGAAGCGCAAACTATTCTGTTTTTTTAGCAAGGAAAAAAGCCTAAGGTTCGGTTCGGACTTTATTTAAAAAAAAACGAATTCCGGATCAGGAAACTGTACGTGTGCGCCCAGTATAAATCATTCCATGTTTCTATTAACTGTACTGTTTTCATATTTCATTCTCATTCTCATTGGTCTGATATCCGTGCAGGCGGGAAGCGAAAGATAAATAAACAGGGCTGTAACTTTCTCATTTTTGAAGTTATACTTCTTTAGGCGCGTTATGAAAAAATTATGAGAGTGAAATTTTAAGATGCGCGCGCATCACTGTAACACAAAATTTTAACATAATGAAGTTGGTCGAAGGATGGATAATTTCTCACGCGCCTACATAAGTACACGCACCCATTTTTTTTATGCATAATAGGCAATGCGTTTGACCACAATCTCGCCTGATGGAAAGCGATGATGAGGCCTGGGATGGTACACGCCTGCCTAGAAGATGCCTGTTCATTCTGGCCTTGAAGATGTCTAGATTAATATTATATATTTACTGAGTAAAAAAAAGGCAAGCAGAGAATGAAACTTAAAACTGTCGCAGGCGATGGGCTAGTATCTTGTTATTTATTTAAGAATAGTGGGGGTGCCCGCGACTTCGTCTTTATGGAGAAATTGGTTGCCCATGTAAACTTCCACCCCTCTTTTCACCCCCTTTAAGGGTGATATCAGGAATAAAAGCTATCTTATGCCCTTCCCCGGGAACAGACTATCAATACACAAACAAACTATCTCTATACCGAATTTCATCAAAATCGGTTTAGCTGTTAGCGGCAGAGGTAACAGACAGACAGAAACAAAGACAGACGCACTTTCACATTTATAATATTAATATGGATCTTAGACCAATCAATGCCTGATGTGGTATAGTTGCGGTGCGGTGTGACCATTATATTATCTCATGACGTACGGTGGAAGTATTTCCTGGGTGATTACACCTAAAAAAAATCTACAAAAAAACTAAAAGATGAAACAAACTCATACGAATCTGTGAAAGATACCTGTGGTGCAGCTCGCCAGCCCCGAGTCGCCTCGACGGCGGCCAGCGCCGCCGCGAGCACGGCCCACAGCGCGAGTGCGTTACCCACTGAGGTGCGCTGCAGTTTGCACGCGTACCGGGCGTACAACTCCTCGAGCTCGGCGGACTCGAAACGGCGGCGGGCCACCAGCCGGGCGAGCGGCCCGCGCGCCGACATCGCCTTCACCGCGTGGTCCATCGCCGCCTCACCTCGCCGCCGCCGCTGGTGCCGCGCGGCGCGCCGATCGTCTCCGCATCTGCACATTTAAAAGTAAAATTTGAGATAAAAAAAAACTGGGAATAACCACACACACCCACACACGCCTGTTCATCAAAAAATTGGAAATTGAAAAACCCGGAGCACCGCAACCTTTTTTTCATTGTAGGGTACCATGATACAACTAGAAGCGAACATAACTGGTGTAAAAGACATCACACACTAAGCATCATATATACAAGAGCTAACATACATGTTAAAAGGTTTTAAAATAGTTTTGTTATTGGTATCTGCGCGTATGTCTCCGATTTCATCTATGTGAAAAGCAAGACTGGAAACTTAGTTGGAGCACATACAATATGGAAACAGTAAATGCCTATTGACTCTTGTCTTAATAATATCTCAAGAAAAACAGACGCTGGGAAGTCGATCCACATCCTAACCGAAACGTGCGTATTAGAGCTTTCTAAGATGCAAATCACTTGGTACATATCTGTGGAATACCAACAACTTAGGGAGTTAAAACCCTTCCTCTTCTGGTATTTACGTCGATGGTAAAACTTGCGTCGGTGTTCAAGACCAGTGGGCCAATCGCCTAACCAGATTGCTTTGGAAACGCTATCGCTTACGATTTCATTTTGTTATTTCTAACCGCCGAAATACCTCACGCTCATTTTCTTTAACATTGTTATTACCAATGCAAAAGAAAAAAAAAGAGCGCGAGGCATTTGAAAACCTCAGGGGGCTAGAAATAACAAAATGAAATCGTAAGCGATAGCGTTTTCCAAAGCAATCCAGTTATGCGATTGGCCCCCAGCTGTGATAGGAGATAACTACCTATCACCCTATCTATTAGCTTGTTACAGTTAACACTATCCCTCCGTCACTCGCAGTGTACAAAACAATAAAATTATATTTTCAAATTATAGGTAAAATCAATACCATATCGACAGTGGATTGGCAAAATCGCTTATACGCCACTTTGGTCGGAAATGAGTTATATATATAATTTGAATCAGATTTTTGATGTGTAACATCTTTCCTCTCACTTTCCTGAAATTTGTGGGAGTGATTTCGTGAAATAGGATGGAAGTGTGTAATGGTAGCCATACACACTACGAGAAATCGTTACGATCAGACTGTACAGTTCCAACGGAACAGTTTATCGTACGTGGCGTACGTATTGAAAACTGCAGTTTTATAACATACACGCTACGATTTATCGGTACCGTTCGGACTGTACAGTCTAATCGTAACGATTTCTCGTAGTGTGTATGGCTGGTATAACAGGAAGTCGCGAAAGCGCGCGCTATTTGATTTGATTTTAGAACACAATGTTCCAATGACTTATTCCTTTTGAAGATTTTTTTATTTATTTTTTTTACTTATATATGGTGAGGTTTCAAATGTTACACATCATACGCGCTCGTTTTTTTAGGGCTAAGGCTCGCTCGTTTTTTTTTATACCGTCTTTATTACTTACGATATCGACAGTGGAAAAGCTAAATCGCTTAAACGCCACTTTAGTAACCTTACGGAAACAAGGACCAAAGTTTTTTTTTCACAAAATAAATTATAAACCATTGTATATACTCATTATATGGTACCGATTATTTAATACTATTAATAGTCCGCTATGTTTTAACAGTTACAAGGCAACACCAACTAATGACTGCAATAGTGTAGATAAGTTTGTTGCTAGCGAAGGATAAACTATCAATAGTATCGATACTATCGATAGCCTAATCGTTAGTCTTGCTATTTTTGGCTATCGATAGACTATCGATTAATAATTGATCGACTATAGATCGGCAACACTCAAGAATTAACGGAAAAGATTTCCACAATATTGAGCAATACCAATGAGTTGAGTCAATAATATTCTTATAGGTCCACTTGATACATCTGAAAAATCTTAATTCACACATAATGACAACAAAACAAACAACACGAAAATGTAAACTTCCTTCCTTACACAGACTAATCACAAATTACTATGGGTACATTTTGATTAGTCAAATAACTACCCGTCGCTCGGATAGACAAACGGAATTTGTAGCAAATAATTTATTTGGGATAGACTCGCAATCCGCGAGTATGGTGGTGGTTTGTGTCACGGTCGCCGGGTCAATAAACTTCCGAGCGGCGCGGCGGCGGCGCGGCAGACGTCGTGACTCGTGTCGTGACAAACGAAACTCAAGCAGGGCTCGTCGCAATGCCTACGAAGATTTATGTCTAGCAGTGAAAAATGAAACCAAAAAATATGGTCCCTTTACGCATTCCAGATCTTTGCCCAATATCCACCAAACACCTCTAATCCCTTAGCCGACACTTACGTTACGACTTACTTACTGAGAAATTAGGAGAATTTTGATATTTTGGAAACCTTAACCAAATGTTTTTGCAAGAAATGGTAATTTTTGAGTCAAAATTACTTAACTAGAAGTTATTTTGACTATTTTTGATTAATGTAAGAAGCAGATGTATCTGTCTTATTGTAAGTTAATGTAAAATATTTTCAAATATAATTATCCTTTTTTGTACTTGTTTAAGAGCCCTTTCACATTTTTTGCAATAAATCGCAATTTTTGAGCGCCTCGTTTGCCCCCTTAGAAGAGGTTTTGACTACTTCCAATAGAAGTAAACAGTATAGTCTAAGATCCGGCTGCAGAATCAGTGTACCCATCGAGTGTTTGCTGAAAACCAAATTTTTACACATATTTATGATTAGGAGAATTTATATCCACCAGGTTGCCTATCAAAATGTGGCCGCTAGTATTTTTAATTAAATTATTAATAATTCATAATCCGTAAGAAATTTCACTGTCATGTTTTTTCAATGAAATGTCGTCTATTTTACGGCAATATCTATGAAGACTCTGAAAAATCATGGTTGCCGTTGCGCACCTGGCCGCACCTCTTCGCAGCCTGGTGTACACAGGTATGATTTTGTTACATTTATACACCCACAACGTACATTCATATTTTATAAATCAAATTAAAGCTAATTTTTTTCTGTTCATTATTATATACGGTTGCCTAATTAAATTTGGCCGCAAATAAGGGTTGCTGGCTGTTAAATAAAGAAAATATTAAAAGAAGAGTGAAAGAGAGCTAGCGCGTTACACTACTATTCAGACGAGGATAGCAATTGCCAGCTGTCGGACAGTTTAAAGCCATTGCGACTTTTATTCTAAGTTAAAAACCACGCTATTTTGGAGTACGTAATACACAACATAATATATTGCTGTTTCATTTGTGCATCGAAAAATTATCAATCTCATCGGGGTGAAATAAAATTTATGAAGATGAAGGCGTGTTTTCTGTGCGAAAAAAAAAACAATGTACTAGACTTTGATAATGCTTCATTCAAAAAGTGTTCTCTAATGTTATTGTTTCGTCGTAAGAAAAAATATAAATATCATGACATTTTATTAACACTTGAATCCACCGATGATTTTGGATATCATACAGAGTGTTTGAAAAAAATTACAGTTATATCCATTTACGGATATTATTGATGAATTAAATTACATTTTACGGTACGCCTCAAAATAATAAATACTCCAAGACGTTTCTTTTGGAGTATTTATTATTTTGAGGCGTACCTACTATTGTTTGAATCGGAGGTTGAAAACACTAGCATCTGACGCATGCGCAATGGCTTTAAACTGTCCGACAGCTGGCAATCGCTATCCTCGCCTGAATAGTGGTGTAACGCGCTAGCTGTCTTTCAGTCTACTTTTAATGTTTACTTTATTTAACAGCCAGCAACCCTTATTTGCGGCCAGATTTAATTAGGCAACCGTATATAATAATGAACAGAAAAAAATTAGCTTTAATTTGATTTATAAAATATGAATGTACGTTGTGGGTGTATAAATGTAACAAAATCATACCTGTGTACACCTGGCTGCGAAGAGGTGCGGCCAGGTGCGCAACGGCAACCATGATTTTTCAGAGTCTTCATAGATGTTACCGTAAAATAGACGACATTTCATTGAAAAAACATGTCAGTGAAATTTCTTACGGATTATGAATTATTAATAATTTAATTAAAAACACTAGCGGCCACATTTTGATAGGCAACCTGGTAGATATAAATTCTCCTAATCATAAATATGTGAAAAAATTTGGTTCTCAGCAAACACTCGATGGGTACACTGATTCTGCAGCCGGATCTCGTACTAGTAGATTTATTCTTCCTATTGGAAATTAATGTAGAATATTTGCAAATACTATTGCATTTTTTTGTACTGATCGTTCTACCGCAGCTAGTTTACGGAAAAAAAGATAATATGCACAAATTTAAACGCATTAATCTCACAATAATGTTCAATAAATTAGATCAAATGAATTACTACGACATCAGAAATATGTTTTTGTTGCAACATAATGTATTAGAATCTTGATTTTCCATATCATTTATTATTAAAAAAACATCTAACCTCCGTGTGTTTCCCCAAAAAATAACGCAGGTTGACTTCGTATTTTGATATTGATAGAATATATATATATATATATATATAGAATAAAACTAATCTACAATCATTGAACTACTGAAATATGTATATATTTTTATAATAAGTTCATTAATTATTATTTTATAAGACTCTGAACATCACCCGTAAAATGCAATCTATTCTAGTGCAAATCTAGGCGCCGTTAAGTACGGCGCCAGTGCCTTTGGAGGTCGGACCTGTGTCGCTTTGTACCGCACGCGTCCCGAACGATGCTACGAGTGCATTCATCGTAAACTGGCTGTATATAGTACGACCGCAAAACTTTAATCGTTGTCTGTATGTAAGTTTCCACAACCGTATTAATTTTTATTATTATAAGTACCTACCTAGTTATTAATTATCGTTGCTTCAACTAATTATTACTATTGTTTTTAGCTTTTACAATAGGGCGTAAAATTCCTGCTTACCATTGTGACAAAAAAAGAACGAAAGAATGATGCAGCCATAAAGAAAGCTTGTGAAGCAAGGTGAATATGCTTATAACATTTCGCTTTTTATTTTTGTGGTTTCTATGGGT